TGAGGCAGGAGAATTGCCTGAACCCAGGAGGCGGAGGTTGCGGTGAGCCGAGATGGTGCCATTGCACTCCAGCCTGGGTAACAAGAGTGAAACTCTGTCTCAAAAAGAAAAAAAAAAAAAAGAGAAGGCTTGAATTTTACGACAAAGCCAATCTAATAAAGACCACCAGGGATATAGATGTAGTTGAACAAAATTAGGCTCATTAACTTGATATAGCAAGAGAGGCAACACACCAGAGAAACTGTGGAGGGTCTCACCAAACAAAGGAAGAAACAGGGTTATCATAGAATGGGGGGAGGGTGGAGTTTAGGCGAAATTGAAATATGCTGTGCTGGTAGGTCCAAAGCAAAGTCGGCAATGTGTAAAGGGGTTAACATCTGGCTTGGGCTGAGAATCAGACCCAGAGTCTTGTTTCCTTGGACACCACAAAAGTAAGATAAATATAGACCATTGTGTTCAAAAACCTTTCATCTGAAGCTCTGTATCTGGGTAGAAAAATCCAGGCCGTGTCTCTGTGTCAAACCTGGCTCTTCTGACCCACCAGAGAAGAGTGAGATGTTCTGCTCTCACTGATGTGATTTCAAACAGCAAAGTTTCTAACAGTGTCTGATTTTAGAGAACAAGATTTCTTTTTTTTTAGACAGAGTTTTGCTCTTGTCGCCCAGGCTGGAGTGCAATGGTGTGATCTCAGCTCACTGCAACCTTCGCCTCCCAGGTTCAAGCAGTTCTCCTGCCTCAGTCTCCCAAGTAGCTGGGATTACAGGTGACAGCCACCACGACCAGAAAATTTTTGTATTTTAGTAGAGATGGGGTTTCACCATGTTGACCAGACAGAGAATGAGATTTCTCAGCACTGTCTTTTTTTCTTTTTCTTTTTCTTTTTCTTTTTTTGAGACAGAGTTTCACTCTTGTCACCCAGGCTGGAGTACAGTGGTGCAATCTTGTCTCATTGCAATCTCCACCCACCTGGTTCAAGCAATTCTCCTGCCTCAGCCTCCTTAGTAGCTGGGACTACAGGTGCTTGCCACCACACCCAGCTAATTTTTTTTTCTTAATTCACCTGGGTGCAGGTGGGCTGAGGTTGAAAACAGCATCAGCCAATTTTTGTATTTTTAATAGAGACAGGGTTTCACCAGGTTGGCCAGGCTGGTCTCAAACTCCTGACCTAAGGTGATTCACCCTGCTCAGCCTCCCAAAGTGCTGGAATAGCACTATGTCTTTGATGTTAATTGACAAAAGAAGGTTTGAAAGATTCACTTTTTTTTTTTTTTTTTTTTTTTTTTTTTTTTTTTTTGGACACAGAGCCTTGCTATGTGTCCCAGGCTGCAGTGCAGTGGCATGATCTCAGGTCATTGCAACTTTCTCCTTCTGGGTTCAAGCAATTCTCCTGCCTCAGCCTCCTTAGTAGCTGGGACTACAGGTGCTTGCCACCACACCCAGCTAATTTTTTTTTCTTAATTCACCTGGGTGCAGGTGGGCTGAGGTTGAAAACAGCATCAGCCAATTTTTGTATTTTTAATAGAGACAGGGTTTCACCATGTTGGCCAGGCTGGTCTCGAACTCCTGACCTCAAGTGATCCACCTGCCTCAGCATCCCAAAATTCTGGGATTTTAGGTGCAAGCCACTGCACCCGACCCAGATTCACATTTGATAGAAATTCCTTGATGCCTCAATTATCTGGATGTGAAGGCCCTCGAGAGTGCCAATCTTCCCCTCCCAGTGTGACCCCAGCTCCCTGGACCCCACGTCAGCCTGGCCTCCACTAGAAAACCACGAAACCGAGTCTTGATCCCTACATAGAGGCACCCAGCTTCCCAGTAGGACTGTGGGCTTGGCTGATATTGGGTCATCTGCCTCTGCCCTATACCCGACATGGGATACCATAGGTGCTCGGGCCGTGTCCGTTGAATCTAACTGCTGATGGGTTTTCTGAATGCAAAGAAAAGGAAGTGGCAGGGATCATGGAAATGAGGCCCACTATGTAAGGTAAGTGGGAAATGAGGCCCGCTGCCTAAGGTAAGTTGGCATGTGGGTGATTTTTGAAAATCTGTTTCCCAAAGTGGAAATCTCTAAAATGTGGCCATTAGTGATGTTCTGAAAAAGAAAAATAGGAATTGTTGACTATTTTAAGGTTAAAAGAATAAACTATTGACATTTCAATGATTTTTTTTTTTTCTGTTGCCAAGGCTGGAGTGCAGCGTTGCTATCTCAGCTCACCTCAACCTCTGCATCCCAGGTTCTAGCAATTCCCTGCCTCAGCCTCCTGAGTAACTGGTACTACAGGCACACACCACTAGGCACGGATAATTTTTTTGTATTTTAGTAGAGACGGGATTTCACCATTTGGCCCAAGCCGGTCTCGAACTCATGAGCTCAGGCAATCCACCTGCCTCAGCCTCCCAAAGTGCTAGGATTACAGGCGTGAGCCACCACGCCCGGCCGACATTTTAATGATTTTAAAATGAGAATGAAATTGTTGATAAGTAATTAAAAAGCAAGAATTGCAATTAATCCTTTCTCTCCCTCCCTGCCTCCCTCCTTCTCTCTCTCTCTCTCTCTCTTCCCCCTCTCTCTCTCTTTCTCTCTCTGTTTTTCTTTAAAGAGACAGGGTCTTGCTATGTGGGCTGGACTTGAATTCCTAGGCTCCAGCAATCCTGCCACTTCAGCCTGAGTAGCTGGAACTATAGGTGCTCACCAGCTTTGATTCTTTTTCTTTCTTTTTTGGGAGTGGGGGGAGGACAAGGTATTGCTCTGTCACCAAGGCAATGGAGTGATCTAGGCTCACTGCAACCTCTGCCTTCCAGGCTCAAGTCATCCTCGCACCTTAGCCTCCCAAATAGCTGGGACCACAGGCTCACACCACCGTATCCAGCTAATTTTTGTAAAGACAGGGTCTCTGTTGCCCGGGCTGGAGCCTAATGATAAAATGATAGCTTACTGCAGCCTCAAACTCCTAGCCTCAAGGGATCTTACCACCTCAGCCTCCTGAGTACCTAGGACTACAGGCCTGTGTCACCACACCCAGCTAATTTTTCAATTTTTAGTAGAGATGGGTTTTTGCTGTGTTGCCCAGGCTGGTCTCAAACTCCTGGGCTCAAGTGATCCTCCTGCCTCAGCCTCCCAAAGTACTGGGCTTACAGGTATGAGCCCCAATGCCCAGCCTCTTTCATTTTTAAAAGGGAATTGAAGTATTGACATTGTGCCTTCTCAAAAAATGGATTGTTGACTTTTCATGATTTAGAAAACAAAAGCTAAAAATTTTTGGCCTTGACATTCTAATCATTATTCAAAGAATTAAGTTATTGACTATATGGGTTTTAAAAGACTTGAATTCTTAAGACTTAGAGATTTGAACAAAGGAAAATCGAATTGTTGGCAGTTTTAGGCGAGATTCCCTGACTCTCTGCTGCCCATGTGTGGAGAGAACTGGGTCATCACAGCTCCCAGCCTCCCTTTGAGGATGAGTAGAGGTTCCCTGGGGGCCCACTGGCCAGCCACATTATGGAATTACACATATCCCACTGCCCTTTACTCTAAAATTATTTTGGAGAATTATCCAAGGGTTCTCCCCTGACTCATTGGGAGGAAGTGGACACTCAGCCTTTGTAACCCTACTGTGTCTTGGCAACGCCTGACAGTTACATGTCACCAGGCACTCTCTGTGTGACTCAATAAAAATGATTAATGCGTGTGGTTTCAGAACTTCTTCTCCACCTCCCCAGCGTCCCCATGATGCAGAAGTCTCTGCTCAGCTTCACTCTGTTTCTTCCCTGCTCTCACTCTGCCCTTGCCAGACCAGTTCTCAGGCTTTTTAAGAGCTGGAGTGAGGGTAAGGGCTGGAGGAGAGTTGTAGGGGAGGGCTGAGATCCAAGAGTGGTTTAGGAGAAAAACGGGGGCAGTTTGGAATGTGTTGGGGCAGTGGATGGGAAAAGGATAAAAAAGAGAATTTGAAAAAATGTTGATGCAATAACTTTGGAGAGCAATTTGGCAATTGTTAAAGTTGAAAATGAGCATGGCAGGCTGGGCGCGGTGGCTCAAGCCTGTAATCCCAGCACTTTGGGAGGCCGAGGCGGGTGGATCACAAGGTCAAGAGATCGAGACCATCCTGGTCAACATGGTGAAACCCCGTCT